ATATTTTTCTTTGGTCACCTACTCCCCCTGAGGATTACCCACCACGTGGGCAAATGAGGCAATGTCAGGTTCAACCGAAGAAGGTGGGAGCACCATGAGAACAGGGAAATCTGCCTACTAGCAGATCCTGAGATAATTGTGGTGAGGTGCAAAAGAATGCGAAGATGTCTGCGTCTCTTACTGCAAAGTCCCAACCGGAAGCAGGAGAGGCGAAGTCAAGGTGGTAAGACGAAAGTGTAGGATGACACGCAATCCCTTCCCCTTGACAGTTTCCATTGCGCCGCAACCGACCTCGTAGCAGAAATCGTAGCGACACAGAGATCTAAGGATGGAGACGACGAGCGAGCACTAAGAAATTAGCGGAAGACGAACAATCGAAACAGGAAAGCGCGAACCATTTATTGTCAAGCACGACGAAGCCAACGAAGGAATAAGCATAAGGTTTCGCCATCAGGTGAAACCCTAGTAGAACAGCCCGTCGAGTACTTATTCATGTCAATTTAAGATCCATCGAACACCCACACACCATCTTCTGATTGGGATGTCATGGACAAGCTTTGTATTATATGGTATTTAATTTTAAGTCATTTTCAACACTATGTAGCCCCATATAGATGAATGACAATTGATGAGCCAGATAAGTAGATGCACCCTCTATTCTTAGAGGATCACTCTCTAGATCACCATCTTTATCATCTTCATCACCTTCCTCTCGAGCCACTCTAGTTTGTGTGAGCCTATCAGTGATACGTGAGCGTTCGCCCTAAAAGGATTCTACACACTCTAAATTTTTAACCTAAGAGGCTATTACACAATGAATTATTACCTTTGAACTTGATCAAAATAAGCTTGAACATTGAAACAATGATTTAGTATGTCTTACCAAAGTTGGTAAAGTTTAATAAGGTTAGAGCAAGTTTCAAGAACTTCATGTATTAGTTAAATATTATTTGAACATAGTATGAAAAAAATTTATTTTTTATTACTTTGCTTTTATTATCTCTTGTAAGATTTTTCATTTGAACTGTCTACCTTTTCACACATATATTTTGGGATGTGATGGAGAAAATCATTTGACAATTTGAAGCTAATGTCATTATTATCTCGAATATTAAACATAATTGCACATCTTTCATTACTAAATTTTATTTCAATCAATATTTGAATGTTCCACTTAACAACAATGTAAATGCATGCCATTTAAACAAGTAATTTTGTTTGGCATTTTATTTAAAAACAATTTTGTTTACTTAATGAAATTTTAGCATGGTGGCCTTAGCATGCTGTTACTTAAAAAAGAATAAGTATGTTATTACTTGATGAAAATGGTTTTAATCATAATGATCTTCAAGCGCACATTTTATGGAGTCTCAAGCATACCCTTTAATTAGAGATTTGGACACTTTATAGTGCTACAAGTATAGCCAAATTTATAACAAGGCTAGCTTCATTGTTGCTAATACTATAATATTCTCCTCAAATTGAGGAGGGGCAATCTAATTGTTTTTATTATAAATGATTGAAGTGTATTCAGTTGTATTAAAGCTTTTTGTTAATTTATAGTTGATGTTATGATATTCAATTGTATTAATTTTACTTGTTTGTTGTGATATAGCTAGTATGAATGTACTCAATTTAGTAAATTTTTTTATCTATTACCTCATAACTAGTATGTTTATCTTTTATTTATAATAATTTTGATTTAATATATTGATGGTAACTTTACTGTGATATAGCTGATATTATTGTATTCTTTGTTATGCATGCTTGGGTATAATCCATAATCGAATATCAATCAAACAAAACATGAATAACGATCGAGCACTAAATCAACTATGATCAAATTAAACTTAAATAAGCTATAATCAAACATTTTTTAATTGTGATTGACTAGTCATGATATCATGATCAAACTTTCTTCGAATTATCTTTAATCTGTGATTGACTTAATATTGCACCATATGCAAATCATCTTTGAATTATGATCAATTTAATGTTTTATAGATAGTAATGGAATCACTATTTTAACTATATCCATCATGCCATGCCTACGATGATCAAATAAAATTTTAGCCTTGATTTATTTGAGTTTTTTCAAACTTTATTTGAATCCTAAAAGAGTTTTGACAGTTTTTTTAACTTTATTCAAATCTTATACCCAAATGAGAGCTTGAATTTATTTGAATGATGATTCAAAAAACATTTAAATTGAATTAAAAATTATTTCTCTAATTTCATCATTAGGATGCATATAAAGTCAATTTTATCTTTTTCATTTCATAGAATAAACTTTGATATTTTGATGATGATGCATTTTTTTTTTTTGTAATATAATAAATCTCAATTTTATCCAAAAGAGAACACAAGACAATTTTTCAAAACAATTTAATTAGATAGTTAAAATTTAGATTTTTTTTAAAATAGATTTAAGAAAATATTATTTTCATGTTAACAAACTATTTTGACATTATATAATGCTAATCTATCAGAATGGCATATTTAAAAAGAGCTAATATAATAATATAATATACCGATATTAATTAATAACTTCTATGATATATTGATATTCAATTGAAAACAACATATATTGACTAGCATGTACAGAACTCAAACATGTTTGTGACACATTTGATATGTGACGGGCACTCGTTAGTGCATCCAATTAAAGAAAAAAATATATCATATTGTTGAATTCAAAAATATACGAGTCACACCCAAGAAATAAAGCATAGGACAGATGAAAGGAATTAAGAGAGAGAGAGATACAGAAAGAGAGAAGCTTATTGCACAATAACACAAGTTCTCAAGAAACAAGTTTAGTATTCCAATCCTGAAAAATTGACCTCATATTTATAGATCATAGGGGGTGTCTAGTAACTCATATATTTGTCCTTGTTTTAATAGGAATGTTACAAGAAATTAATTCACCTCTTCTTATTTGTAACTGACTTCGGATTTATTGCTGACACTGACACCGTTTCATATTCATAACTGCTAAAGGGGAAAACACTTAATGACCTGGTCATGTTGTCATTTGATCGTCTCACGGAGTTTCGGTTAGCTAGAGGATCTTCGATAGACTAAGGGGGCTTCAGTCAGTCTCGTTGGGAGAATTTTTGGTGGAGGTTCTATTGTCATATGGACGAACTTAGACCATCAAGCAAAGGATATATCACAATAATCTGATCGACAATACCACTCAGACAAAGGAGCATTCCGAGAGGAATGGAAAGATATTGGGATCTGGTGGCTCTTTTCATTCTTTTTTATGAATGGCCATCAACATGAAGAGTCCTAAAATCATTTGAGGGAGCTGGTTGTATTCGTTTGCACTTGAATCTAGTGTCTCATGTTCTTTCGTTAGGATGAGCTTTTATTCAGCCAACTTGTGGTTCTGAACAAAGGGAATGACATTTGGTGTCTTCATGTTTTGACTCTTGATTCATTTCTCTGGTACCTATTCAGTGAGATCCGTTGAATCTCTTTGAGATTTCTGTGGCCATAATTTATATATTTAGCTTCTGGACTCTCTTACTTCTTGAAAGTGACAAAAGCGATAAGATTAAGAAAATTAAATATATAAATTGACTTATTTATTTCATAATGAGTGCCACTAAAAATTAAACTACCAAAATTTTCATGTTTGTATCCCCTATAAACAGAGCGCGAGCAGCACTTGCTCATCACCATTTTTCAATTTCCAACCATTCAGTTGATTTTTAGTATGGATTTGTGAGGACAAGTGGAAATAAGCTCACATACGAAGAAGCTATGTTGAAGCCCTTTTGGGCTTTCAACTAAAAAAGCTTGACATCTAGTGGGAGAGAAAAAGAAGAAACTTGAAAGTACTTGGCCTACTCCAAGGAAGAAACCTGCGGATGAGGGCCATCTAAAAGTAAAGAAGTTGAAAGGAGAAGGTTGCTTGCTCAACACAAAAAGACTAGGAGAAAGTATCCGACCAGAGAGGAGAATGTTGGTCAAGAAAGCAATGTTGCAGAAATAAAGAGCAGAGAAGACGGTCGAGTCGTCTAACTCATTGCCACTCTATGAAGTGGGGGGCAGGACCAAGGTGCACACCACCGGAGCATCGATCCTAGCTTCAGATCCGATTTGCTAGAGGCTGACAGATCTGTTGAAACCACCACAAGTGCAGGAGACAACAACAACTCAGGTTCAGTGACGCGTCAAAATTTATCGCAAAGTAAGTTGGTCGCACAACACAAGTATACGTGTCAAGTAATGACGTGGTTAAAGATTACCGCATATCGATCCCATAAGAAAACAATTAAGAGCTATTTTTATGGGCAGATCTCTATTTTACTAAACTTCTAAACTTAGTTTAGCTTGATCATGAATAGGAGATGGTTTCCTAAAATCCTAATTAAAAGTGAAACAAAAGATAATGTGTTTGTTAAAGATGAAAAATAGCAACGGATAACCCTTACTGTTCTTCAAGGCATGTGAGACTTGCACCCCTATGATTTAGTTAAGGGGTTGATTCGTAATTTTCCTAGACTTATCTTAGCGTGATTGTTGTCAACAAAGATAGAAAGTCCTCCTTATGCTTATGTCTAGATCAAAAAAAAAGCAAGCATCTATGATGTTGAGGCTTCCTCAATCCTCATGACATCCCGAAATATTGTTCTGGTCCCTATCTAAGATACAAAATTTGGACAAAATATGTATATTATTACCGAGATTTTGTGGTTAACCATTCCGTTCCTTTACGCAACGGGCAAGAGTCATATATCACAAAATATGTTAACATCCTAATTGATTAGATCATAAGTAAATGGAACTCTATTGTTAACATAACGATAAAAAAGCTTTGATGTCTCAGGAAAACGATATAGGAAAAGAAATCATATGAGAAAACCATAAAATCACATCCCATAAATCACAGAGGCACGAAAAAAATTTTAGGTACACATGATAGAAAGAAAACTGGAAAAGCATCCCAACAAAACCATTGTTACAAGTAAAACTAAATATTAAACAAAATGATTTGTTCACTCTTCCACAACAACCAACTAGTCTCTCATACAATAATCTCTCAAAACATAAAGAATAATACAAAGAAAAAGGTAGAAGAAACCCTTAGGACCTCAACCCGAAGAGAGGAAGAGGAAACCTAAGAAAACTCTCAAAACTTCTTCTAGAGTCGTCTCCAACTCTCCTTTGCAACCGAGCAAGTTTCAATTCGTGCCCTAGCTTACCTTTTAAAGATTCAACAAAAATTAGCTTGACAAAACCTTCCAAAATAAGATCTGAAGATCCAATGGCGTGGTCAAACCTAGACCCGGCGTGGTCACACCCAAAACTAGTGTGGTCACGCCAGACAGGACAATATGACAACATTTTGACCTCATTTTGCGTGTTCGACACCTATAACCTGCACAACATTCAGAAAAATCTTTCTCAAGTATAAATTCACGATAAATAACTGAAAATAACATATAAAATGTAAGGAAAATAAAGGTAAAATCATGTAAAATTGATGCATGTCAATACTCCGAAACTTACCCTATTACTTGCCCTCAAGTAATCACATGGATATGCTTGAATTACTACGAATTGTATAGTACTCTTATAGGTTTTTAACTATTCAACGTGTATATCAAAACTAAAAAACATTTCAAGGTCATTAGGAGTAATTATCTTTGATGGTTAATAACTTGATCTTTTCTTAATTCCCTTCTTTTCTTAAGAATATCTCATAAATTTATAAATTGGTGTTATTTAAAGTATCTTTCATTAACCTTAAAAGTATTTATACAATATCAGTGGATTTTAGCTAACGAATCAAAGTAACGTTTATCACTCAAGTCACAATAGACCCTCTTCTGATTTCTTTTCTTCTCTTGAATTTTTGTTGTGCTAACTACAAGCTTCTTCTCAGAGATTTTTAACTTTTTTGCTTTTTTATCTTTTACTTCTTTTTCTTTTTCTCTTGAACATTACAATATCTGGTTGGCAGCTTTTTCTTTTATAACATTTTAGATGTGAAGAGGGGGGGTCATTCGTAAGTTATAAAACTAATACTTGATATTTCTAAAGTTCTACCTCCAAGTTATCTTTTCCAGTTAAAATTTAAATTACATTAAGCTGGTTAAAATGGATTGACTAACGATCTGTGAATTCAATAAGAGCAAGTTGATTCCAAAGATCAGACATTGCAAAATATAATCGTGAACACTCATGGTAATTTGTTGAATGACCCGAATATCTATATCCAATTAGTCTTGTTTTGTAAAATTAAAATGTGTATGCAATCTTTCCAAATGATTCCAAATCGCTTCAGCCATTTCATACTTTGCTAATTAGATTCCTATAGCTTGTGAGACAATGTTGCTAACCCATGTTATAATTTTCGAATTAGAGCCATCCCAAAGTTCCAATTTATCTACAAATTTCTCATCTTTTTCATTCAACGGCTTAGCAAAGTTTCAGAGACATAACGCCATATTTTTTTAGCCTTTAGAAATTTTCTCATGTCGTAACTCCAATATGAATAATTTGCCCACTCCCACTTAATTGCACGCTAATGGATTTATTTTCTTATCCTTGAGAAATTTTGTCATGTCAAAAATCCAATACGAATAATTATGCCCACTCCCATTAAATCAGATGCTAATGGACTGAAGAGAATTATCCTTTTCAAAGGCCATTATAACAAATAGCACAGTCAAAATAAGGAATAAAAGAGATAAATACAAATACCAATTTGACAAATAAAATACCACATATCGAAGGCCACCGAACCCAGCGTTGCTAAATTAAAATTAATCGAGGTTTCGTGAAAACTATGTAAGAAATTAAAATGTATGCAAACTTAGAGAAGAATGAGATAAGAAAAAGATGTCAGAGAAAAACATAATTTTCAAAGCTAGGATTTGATATTGCAATAATAACAAGAATAAGTTAGACAAGAGTTATATAAGCAAACAAAATGAAAATATCAAGATTAATTTACCCTTTAATAATCATAATATTACTTCTAATATATATTTCATAAAAATATGATTATTTTAAATTCTAAAAATTGGAATCTGCCTTTTTATGCATAAATCAGGTGACTTGTGTAAATATTGAAGTTTATGTGTTAGATATGTAGATACATAGGAATTGAGTAATAGGTATGTAAATCTTCCTTTTTTATTTTTTTAAGTAAAGTTGTTTGGGAAGTGTACCAAGACCTTTTGAGAATGAATTCTGCAAGAAACTAATAGATAGATTTGGATACAAATAATACGTCTGAATTTAAAAAAAAAGTTTGAAATGCCTTCGGGTAAGAAATTAGAAGATATTTTATAATAAATCATAAGGCAATCATCTACACAGAAGTTAAAACATGTCGTTGTTCCGCAATGCTAGGGTTCCGCCCCATGGCGAACCCAGCGTCATTTTGGCTTCGAGCTTCCTCTCGTGTCGTCTACTTCCTCGCGTCGTCTCGCTTTTGCTTTCGCGTCTCGTCTGGCGGGTGTTGCGGTCGTGCATGCGTCTGCGACAGAGCCGCTCGAGCCTGTGTCTCGTCCGCCG